CCGATACTTGGCATTTTCATGAGCACTACCAGGGTTGCATCGGTTGCAGATGGAAACTGGCTCTGGCACTCCACCACTGTCCTGAAATTAATAGTCTGTATTGTTTTAGAAAAACTGTCACATTACAATAAACAAAAATGTATCAGTAATTGTATCTATGAGTACTTGGACAAGTATCAGTACTTGTACTTGTAAAAATGATATTGGTGCATCCCTTATAAATATTTGTTAAAAATAGATCATATGTTAAAACAGGAATGCACAAATCTCAGGAGCTCTGTATGCTGCTTAATAATGACAACTGCCTCCTAAGTTTTAAATGTTTCTCTAGTCTAGTCTTGGAGCTGGAAAAGTATCTGTACTTGTACCGAGTACGGTACTTGGTATCTAAACATCCCTAATTTTATTACATTCCAGTGGAGAGACTTTTGGATTTTCAAGTCAATTTACAGTGTAATAGTTTTGATTTATTAAATTTAGCCACCCTATTATAAGTTGGGTTTATTTGTTTTGTTTTGTAGCCATCAGTATTCTTGCATAAATGAGTATTAAACAGTAAACGTCTTGTATATTTTATTGTTACTACTTTATAATACCCAATATACATACTCAATTTCTCAATATATATATTACTGTTATTGTTACTACTTTATAATACCCAATATACATACTCAATACTCAATATATATACTCAATTTCACATGCTTTATAGACAATGAGGGGAATTTATCAAAACTGGAGCCGCTGTGCAAGGCAGGCAACCAATCGGCTTCTCTCTTTCATTTTCAAACCTTAACTGAACAAATTGAAGAAAGAAGTTTATTGGTTGCTGTGCACAACTTCTTCAGATTTTGTCTGCTCCAATTCTGATAAATTCCCCTCATTGTCTATAAAGCATGTGTGTGAAATTGAACCTGCTTTTCAACATCAAAACGGTCAGTGCTGGGGTAGCTTAAAAAGCAGGTATCAAATCTCCTGCTTTAGTGTTACTTTTGAAGCAAATGTTGTTTTTTCATTACTCAGTTTTAAGCTTACCTCACAAACTATAATAAATTTGGTATAGAGGTTTCAGCTGGAGTAATATGAGTCAAGAAGAGACTATTAAAGAACTGTTAGCTAAAACAAAAAAAAAATATATATAATTTTGCTCTTTCAGTGTTTATGGATCCATTTCTGTGTTAATTTTCCATATAATTAATTCAATTTTCCATTAGTTTGGGTTAAGGATCTACATATTATGCAATAAATGTATTGTTCTGTTTGAAAAGAAGCAGTTCCCAGCTGAGGTATTTTCAATCTTTATAGCTTTTCTGCCATGGCCAAATTGTTCTAAAAATGAAAATATAAGCACAAAAGAGAAGTTGTTGCAAACAGCAATTAGTCAGGTTACACCTTTTATTTATGTAAGGCGTAATCATCTTTAATTAGTTAAACTTGAGAAGCTGGTATTGCCCCTTTAGCAGACATTACTTTTTGTAGGCATATAACATAACTGCACACCAGTCTCTGCCATGGACTCAGTGAAACTGACCACTCCTTCATGTGAAATTCCTTTTAGTTACAAGATGTATGTGGGCATCCTTGGATGAACTGCCTGTTTCAAATCCTTGTGCAGCATTTCAATGGAATTCAAATTGAGGCTTTGATAGCCCAGCCCATAATGCTTCAGTTTTCTTTTCCGAACCATTCTAGATTTTGTAGTGTGCTTTGGATAATTATTATGTTGAAAGATCCATTTCTGCTATAACTTCAACTTTTAGAGATGGCCTCACATTCTCATCCTGCAGACTTTAATATGATGTAGTATTTAAAGTTGTCTCTATTCTGACTCCAATTGTTGGATTAGTGATTTGTCCCTTCCTGAAACCTCTATGCATGGCCTGTATAAGCAGATACAATCACAGCAGACAATCTTCTCAGATAGCTGAACTCCCCAAATACTTTTAATCTATGAAAACCTTTATTGAAAGCAGCAGGTTACTGGCAAGACAATACAGTGGTAGATGCTGTACTGAAGTATTTGAAGCAGTGAAAAGGAATATTCTTTCTGCTAGCCTCAGGTTCACATGTGTTCTAAAGATGACTAAATCTTCCACTGAGAAAAGGGGAGGTTACATCATACAAATGGGAGGAAACACAGATAAAGGCTGTAATCAACTCAATGACCACAAGATAGCATTATAACAAATATGAACTAATATGAATACACAATAAACACTGATGTAATACATTGCCATAGAACTGCTGGAGACAGCAATGTTTTAATGACTGGAGGCTGCCCAGGCCTTGAAGCAGCAGAAAAACAACACACTATAACATTTTCACCACCATGCTTGGTGGTGCTTGGTATGAGGTTCTTCTTCTGAAATGCTGTCTTTGATTTATGCCAAACCTGTCTACTGGAACTGTGGCCAAACAACTCCGTCTTTAAATCACAAGTCCACATCACAGTATTCTATAAAGTCTGGTCTTTGCCTATATTTTCAATGGCAAACTGCAGCCTTGCTGTTATGGTTTTTTTGGGCAGCAAAGACTTCTTTCTACCACACCTCCAATGCAGGTTAATTTAGGTGCAATCTCTTTCTGATTACAGATACCTTTGACATCAACTTTTGCTAGAGTTACCTGCAGATCCAGTGATGAAAGTTTGGGGTTCTTGAAGATTTCTTTTAGCATCAAACAGTCAGCTCTGACCTGAATTTGCTGGGCCAGCCAGTCCTGGACAAATTGGTCCAGCCGTTTGAAATGTACACAACTTGTAGATTATTTTACTTACGGTGGAATGTTTTTTGTATAATTTGACAATCTTTTTGAATACCTTGCCAGACTCCTAGGCATCCACAACCTTCTTTCTGAGGGCCTTAACCTCCCTGGCTCGGGGTTAATTTTCATTACCAAAAGGGTTAACCCCGAGCCACACTCGGGATTACACAACACGTTACTTACATGTCCACGATCCCCGCTGTGTCCTCCAGCCGATGCCGGCATCCGCCTTCCGGGTTTTCCGCCCTTGCGAGCGTCCGTGTCGCAGGGGGGCGGAACCGGCGGGAAATTTAAAAGTAAAAAAAAAGGAAATAATCAGACCGCCAGGGAGGTTAAGTCTTGGCATGATGACATCACACATGTCATAGCAAAGACAACACCAGACCATTCATATCGGAAGTTTAAATAAGTCATTTTCTCACAGTATACTCCCTAATCATTGTTCTAATCATAGGATTTTTTTTAATTTGGAAGACCTGATTCTTATCTCATGGATATGAAGTGGTGGTAAATGAAGGGGTGTACCATTCATTTAATTTTCATTTATTTAGTTTATGAATTCACCGTGTCAGTTTTATGTATCTTTTGATGAAGTGTATCACCTTTGCCTGTAAGCACTGTTGAATAAAGCTCTAATGTTTGCCTGTTCATTATTTTTTAAAAGTCAACAATTTTCACAGGGCATGTTTACTTTTTCACATGACTGTAATTAGGTAAATGTATTTAATGCTGAATCTAGTTTACTTGTATCTGCCTATAATCTAACTTAATTCAGAGACTGGCATTAAACCATAATGGTTTATAGGTAAGTATTCAAAATGTAGCAAGATCCATAGAAAAGGTAAAGCCACACATTCTTTCACTGCAACTATGTTTATTAGGAAGCTTAAAGTCAATTTCCACCTGAAGAGGCGCATGATGATGTATACATGTGCACATATTCATGACTCACATTGCAGGCTTTCTTCATTTTTTTAATTAAGGTTTTATTAGGCCTAAAGCCTAATAATTCAAAATTTTCTCCACAGGAAAATCAGTCAGCTGCCCCCCTCTCTGTCACCCATTGTAAAATGATAACTAAACACCAGCTCTGCCTTTGCACACAATACACAGAAACATATACACATTTTGCTTGTACAGCACAGAGGCAGCGATTTCAATGAGGATATGAAGAGGAAATTAACAAAAAATTTAAGTTTTTGTGTTTATATACAACAACTGCAAATGCCTGCATTATGTACACTTGGCGTATATTGCTGGCATATGTTTTTTTTTAAATACCTCCACAAAGGTGGAAGTTGACTTTAAAACAAATATCAGACCCGCAGAGTCTTGAACCATTTTGTGCATTCGCACTTTCTTCCTTATAATATAATAATTAAGTTAAGGTTTGATTTTCTCAGCACAGTTTAGTTTTCCTTCTGTGGGTGATGAATAAGTCAGAGTTTTATTTTGCCTTGTGACTGGGGGATTCTGCCTTCAGTAGCAAGTTCTCCTCCTTCTTCCACATCCCACCGCTGATTCTATTGGCCAGTTAGTTTGTAAATTCCTGTGAAACCACCTGATCAGCAATCAGCCATCCCCTCCTGCGCTTGTGTTTCTGTTTCCACTACCCCCTGCAGCTCTCCTCTTAAGGATTCTCGCTCTGCCCCTCCAGTCCCCAGGGATCTTGCACCCCCTTCAGGCACTTGCTTGGAGGAGGAGAGGCTGAAAGAAGCACAACAGCAGGCACCTGCACCTTCCTGCTTATAAAATAGGAGCACTGGAATTTATCTATGAAGTATTTCTAAAGCCAAAATGTTTTTGGCTTTAGAAATTTAGAGGATTAAACCCCTTTTGTTTGTTTTTTTGCTCTGTGTCCTGTTCTAGACGTTTCCCTATGCTTCTTTGAGATACAACAGGAAGTGAAAGGAAATCTCTCCATCTTAGATAGTTATCACAGGAACACAGGTCCCCATTGGTAGATTTCCCTTCACCTCCTGTTAATATGACATCTGTAATACTTTGGATTTCCCATCGGTTAATGCCCCAGTGATAGAGGTCACCATGAAAAACAGAGAGGGTGAATATCGTCAGCAGGAACACAGATAGCAATAAAACCCTACAGGAGTGCACTTTAAAGTGATTATTGACCACACATTTTCTCAAGAAAACAGCTTATTACAAGCAAAACTTTACTTTTTCTTCATGTAATAAATTTAATAGAATATATCTCACATTTTCTTTATGTGATCTAGATCCTGGACTTCCGAATTCCATCATCTTTTTCCATGTTTGACCTGATCTCTGGCTTCTGCAGCGACCTTGTAAGCTCGGCTCAGAGCTTTATCTCTTCCACTTGGACTTTCTACCTGCAGTCTGATGATGGAAAAGTCGTAGTATTTCAGGTGACTGTTGGTACTATTTAATGCAAATGTTTGATAGCTTGATCTATAGGTGTTCATTATTCTAAATTTTTTGCATTGCTATCTTTCAGTGTCCCTAAACAATTAATTAATTGAATACATGCTTATGAAAAGAAAGTTAGTAGTATACACAATGGGATTGATTTAATAAAGGAGTAGAAACTGTTCTCTTAGCAAAGTTATTGTTCACTTCAGTCATCCAATAATGTACAAACACAAATACTGTTTTGTTTTTTTATTATTTCCTTTTGCTATATGTAGAAATCAAACCCCTTTGTTTATTGTAAGATTGACATTTTACCATTTAAATAGCTAACACATACAAAAAAACTAGTTTGAAGCTCTAAATGATTGCTAAGCATTTACTTAGGTGACAAATTATATTTGTTAACAAGTCAGACAATTGCCTTATAAAAAAAATTAGGGACCCATATTTAAAGCAGTGGTAAAGCCTATCCGTGGCCATAGCACTGTCTTTGAACAAAAAAAAGTGTGCTTTAGAAATATGCTTTCAGCGAAGTCTTATACCTTTTAACAATTTCTTGATTCACTCTTCTAACATTCCTTTATTTATATTTTGATTATGAGGGCAGTATTTTCATTTACCTTTCAGTCTCAGCCAGAAGTGGAGTACCCAGTGCTAGAGCTTCAAGCTCCAAGATCAGAGGTCACTGATAAGAACTGGCTTTCTTCACGATTTAATACTCTGAAGCCAAACACAGGTATAGTACAAATTAGATTTGATTAGTATGAATAGCAAGAAGAATATTTTGGTCTACTAACAGTATGTGGTTTTGGTCATGCCACTGATCCAAAGCAGTACAAGGAGAACACCAAGAAGCTTTGGAAAGGATTGCAGGAAGTATATATGTCAATTACACTTACCTCTTTAACCCTTGCTGCCAAGCCCTCTGGAACACTTTACACCTCAGCTGGCCACACCATTTTTGCAATTTTTCTCATTGTTTTGATTTTCAACTGCTGTGTTGCTAGGTTTTTTAAAAGACCCCCCAAACTATATATTTTCTGAAAGCACAGGCCCAGTAGAATGAAAAGATGATGCTACTAAATTTGTAGGCCCTGCGATAATTGTGCAAATGTTTATCAAATCAATATTAAACCGATAAAAATACACAATTTAATTGATAAAGCACAGTAAAATCAGTATCAGTGCACAAAAAAAATATATTTTCACACTAAATCTAAAAGATAAAACTGCATAGAGTTAATACATAACAAATATTTGCAAATGTTAAATTGAGCCTTTTTGTGAAACGGTATAAAAATGAAGGAACGCAAAACTGTAAATAACCGACTTATGTTAAACATCATCTTTGCGCGGTGTTGGTGTTTGTGTTACGTTAAAATGATACAGGCGTGCATTTAATTGCAACACAGCGTATCACAACGCATGTCAATGTGTCGCAATGCTTTGCCATGCGTTGCCACAGTTAATGTTATTTTAAAAATATAAAAAAATCAAGCACTGCGATGAGTTCTAACAACACACTGCAGTGAATGTGCATGGCGTACACCACAATATGGTGCACGTGTAATATAATGTTGTTGGAGCGGAGTGGTTTGCGTTTTTATTTTTTATTTTCTTTTATTTAATTTTGTAATTTTTTTTCAAAGTTTTTGATGTATTTTTTAATATATAGTTACATAGTATTTGAGGTTGAATAAAGACACAGGTCCATCAAGTCCAACCTATTGCGTTTGCATTTCAGGTGTGTGCGTGTGTACTTGTACCCCTTTATGTAACGGTCTCCGAGGAACTCGTCCAGGAGTTTCTTGAATGATTCCACACTCTTCGCTGAAATTACTTCCCGCGGCAGAGAGTTCCAGACCCTAACCGCTCTAACTGTGAAGAACCTCTTGCGCCCCGTGTGTAGGAATTGTTTTTCTACCAATTTATAGTGGTGCCCTCTGGTCTTTGTTACAGAGCTAACCGTAAATAGTTTGTTAATAATGTTGCTGTCGCAGTTGAACAGTTTATACAAGAAAATCATGCCCCCCCTTAATCTCCTAACTTCCAAAGAGAACATATTTAATTTTAACAACCTTGTTTCATAGTTCAGGTCTTTGAACCCCTTAATGAGTTTGGTTGCCCTCCGCTGGACCTTTTCCAGCTCAAGGACATCTTTTCTTAGTATTGATGACCAAAACTGGACCGCATACTCCAGATGTGGCCGAACCAGTGATCTGTAAAGTGGCAAAATTATAGACTTGTCCTTGCTATACATTACCCTCTTAATGCAAGACAGGACTCTGCTTACTTTGTTTACAGCAGTCTTGCACTGTGAGCTGTTATTCAATCTGCGAACTATAATGACCCCCAAATCCTTCTCCGTTTCCGACTTCCCTAGTGGCACACCCATAAGTGTATAGTCCATTTGCCTGTTTTTAATTTCAAAGTGCATTACATTGCATTTATCGACGTTGAACTTCATCTGCAATACAGTTGTTCACTCCCCTAGTTTATCCAGGTCCTCCTGTAATGTTATAACATCTAAATCTGTGTCTATTACCCTCCCAATTTTCGTATCATCAGCAAACACTGAGACATGACTACTCACTCCCTCCCCGATATCATTAATAAACAGGTTAAAAAGCATGGGGCCCAGCACAGAACCCTGGGGCACGCCACTCATGACTTCAGCCCAGTCTGAAAAGGTGCTGTTTATCGATACTCTTTGTACATGTTCCTTTAGCCCGTTTTCTATCCACGTGCATACTAATTCATCTATGCCCATATCCCTTAGCTTGTATAACAAGCGTTTATGTGGCACCGTATCGAATGCTTTGGAAAAGTCCAGATATTCTACGTCCACCGCCCTCCCTCCATCCTGATCTCTACTCACCTCTTCCTAAAAGGTTAGCAGGTTGGTCTGACAAGAACGATTCTTCCGAAATCCATGCTGGTTATCAGTTATTATGCCATGATCCCGGACGAATTCCACTAAGTAGTCCTTAATAATTCCCTCTAACAGTTTACATACTATGCATGTCAGACTAACTGGTCTATAGTTCCCCGGCTGGCATTTTGACCCTTTTTTGAATATTGGTACCACATTTGCCTTTCACCAGTCGCTTGGTACTCTACCAGCCATTATGGATTCTTTAAAAATGAGGAACAATGGTCTCGTTATCTCCTTGTTGAGTTCCTTGAGTACCTTGGGATGTAGATTATCAGGTCCTAATGCTTTATTTGCATTAAGCAGTTTAAAGGGGTTCTAAACCCTCCCGTTTTTTTGCCTATATCTACTGCTAGCAAGCAGCAGCTATAGGCAAGAAGTTTTTTTTTTTTAAACGCTTCAACTAGGTTTAAGCTTACCTCGTTATCGCTGCGCCCTCCAGCGCCGAGAATCAGGAACTGCTCGTACAGTCGAAGGATCTTGGGGCGGAGACGCAAGGTTAGTCTATAGACGCGTGCACCCGCATGCAGACACCGCTGGATCGGAGGGACAGAGCAGTCAGCACTGGATGGGAGAGCAGCCGCACCGCTGGAGGGACTGATGAAAACATCAGGAAAGAAGAAGAAGATCGGAATAAGAGACATCATTTAAGGTAAGTGATAACATTAACATGGGGGGAGGGAAAATTTTTTTTTTACTTTAATGTCACTTTAAGCCTATGTTGTATCCCGTTTTCAGTCAACCACTCAGGTGTATTTCTTGTTAAATTTTGTTTTTTATCATTTACAGTAAACCCGTCTTTTTCCTTGGTGAATACCGATGAGAAAAAAGTATTTAGCGCCTCGGCCTTCTCCCTGTCGTTTGTTATTAACCCCCCATTTTTGTTCCTTATTGGGCCTATCTATTCCTTTCTCTCCTTTTTACTGTTTATGTATTGATAAAAAATGTTGGGGTTCTTTTTACTAACCGTGGCAATATATTTCTCACATTCCATTTTAGCTGCCCGGACTACCAGTTTACATCTTTTATTACATTCTTTGTAGTTTTGGAATGCCAATACTGTCCCCTCCGTTTTATACATAGTAAATGCTACTTTCTTTTCCTTAATGTGTTGTTTTACCGTTTTATTTAGCCATATTGGCTTCGTTGTGGATCTTTTACTTTTGTTACTGTACTTTTGTAACGGTATACACTTGGTAATAGCATTTTTTAATTCGTTCTTGAAACAGTCCCACCTTTGGTCAAAGTTTAGTTCATTAAATAAGTTTTCCCATTTGATTTCACCCACTATATTGTGTTGTTTATCAAAGTTGGCCTTCCTGAAGTTTAGGCTTCTTGTGCGACCACCCCCCTTCCCTCCACCCAATATTAAAAGCAATTGCCTTGTGATCACTATTACCCAATGTCTCCCCGATTACAATATCCTCAATTAACTCCGTATTATTGCTGATTATCAGATCAAGGATTGCATTTTTCCTAGTCGGGACCTCAACCATTTGATCCATGAAATTGTCTCGTAACATATTAAGAAAACGAGCCGCCTTTGCCAAATGGAAAGTTCCAATATCGGGGGTCTAAACAGACCCCTGACATTTCCCTTTTGAAATAGAAAAAGAAATTGAGGACACATAGTCTTCAATTTCTTTTTCTGCAGCCTCTACTCTAAATTAATGGAAAACCCTCAGTACAGAGGCTTCCCATTTATTTAGAAACTGGTGATAGTAAAATGTTTAGAATAGGTAGAAGCCTCTGTAGTGAGTGCTTCTCCCCATTGAGAAAGTCATGAATGAACAGGAAGTGATGTAAAACACTTCCTGTTCATTTATAACTGGGGACACATAGTACTATATGTCCCCAGTATTTACAGCTGATCACTCCAGTGTGTGCTCTGCACACAGAGGATCGGTAAATATCGCTGATATTTACCGATCCTCCGCTCAGCCACGCACACACAGCCACTGTAAGCCTGAATCTGACAGGATGACAGCAGCTCCTCTCCTCCCCGCTAGCTGCAAAAGCGACCATGAGCTTATAGCAGAACGGTAAATGCCACCAACGTAAGTCATACTGACGTGGCAGGCTGGGAACATTTGTGTTCCAGTGTATGCCTTGTGTCGGTGGCAGGGAAAGGGTTAAAGTGAATTTAAAGTGTATTTCCACCTTTGCAGCCAAAGCAGGATAACACCTTTATATTTTTTCAATGTTTCCATTCACATAGCATAACTTAAAAATGCTGCTCATCTTTTTGCTTGCTCTTTCTATAAAATCTAATATGGAAGTTTCAGTCTTCTTTGTGATGATAAGAGGGAGCTGGGTAGGTGTGTTTACCAGAATTAACTCTGTCTGTACGGTGCTGGCAGATCTTCATTATCAGTTGTAAAGTTGATGTGCACACATCTATCCTAACAAGAATTAATTATAATTTACTCTGTGACTGGGAGCTGTCCAGGCCTTGAAGCAGCAAATCAACCCCTAAACCATACAATTTCCACCACACTTTGTGGTTATGCGGTTCTGAAATACGGTCTTCGGTTTTGTGGAAAATATGTCTCCTGTTACTACGATCAAACAACTCTATGATTGATCAGTCATGGGAGATCACACCATAGGGATAGAATACCTCAGCAATGAGCCAGGGCTCTGACTGGGCTTTTATACTCAGCAGAGGATTGAGACCACTCCCCGGCTACCGAGGCAACCAGGTAGCCTCTCCATCAGGAGCCAATGGCGAGAGAGGGGCAGAGGGTGTGTGCTGGGAACCTCCCCCAGCAAGGATCACACCTGATACCAGTAACTACGTGCATGTCCCCGTGCCTGTGCGCGCAGCCTGTCCACCGCGCACGCGCACTTGTTGCGAATGCGTACCCACAATCCTGGTACCAGGGGTCCTGCCAGGAAGGGGAACCCGTGCCCCCCGCCGCACATGGCCACCCCGAGGAGAGGTAAGCCCCCTAGTACCCTGACAATTACATCTTGTTGGGCATCCACAGTATCAGCGCATTTTACAGATTACTGTTAGTAGATGGTGAAAAAGATTGGTTGCCATGTTTTTACTGCATTTATTTACCACCCTAATAAGAGAAATTAAATTCACATTGATATTTAATTATTATTTATTTATTCACAGGCATTCGAGAAAAAGCGGAGAAGACTTTAGGAAAGGAATCCAGAATTAAACACAAGTTATCCCATTTGGAAACTCCACAATCTGAGCATGATTTTCTGGGGTGTATGTCCAAGTAAGGATAGATAATATGAAATTTATGATACGGCTGGAGCATGAAAAAATTTTTGTTTCTTTTTAGAAAAATAATCCAGATAGTGTTTTGACTCTGGCCAATCAGGATAAATAGTTAAACTTTTTAAAAATATTAAAAAAGCCCTGTTTGGAACGTTTTCTTAAAGCTGACCTCTGGAATAAGCAAACATTGTCCTAATACATGTCATGAGTGTATTCTTAGTTGAATCGTTGTGTGCTTTGTGTATTTCTTCTAGATATATACAGTAATCCAGTGCATAACTTTGCCTTTATGTAGGAGCTTCCTGTAATAAAGACCAGCCACTGCTGCTCTTTCTGCTGGTGCAAGGTGACTGGTCTTCTATCCACCAACTCTTTAGTAGTTTTCTGCAGGCAGCCTGTAGTGGATGGAGCCTACTGGGTCCCTCCCACAGCTCTGCTCTCTACATAGGCTGTGTACAGCACAGTGATTATGTCACTGCTACTTTTACAAGGTAATATAGGAGTTTCAAAAAGCATTTGGTGCACACAAAGTGGACATATATCCATTTTAGCTTTTAGGGAGTAGAAAGGTTTTTATTTTACTTTAGTTTAGCTTTAATTATAGCTAAATAAGAAAAAAGAAAAAAAAATTGCTGGTACCCAGATTCTATAGTTGTACAGACACATGACCTGTGGAATGCACTGCATTAGTAGCACAGAGATTTGTAGAATCCCCTCCTTTCATTAGTTTACGTTTCAAACAGACAAGTACTTGGGAGACATATGACAATCGCATTCAAGATTACAAATGACTTGGTAAAAGCTCACCAGGCATTTATTATTGACTGATTATTTTTTTATAGAAACTAAATTAATCTTTGTCTTACTCACTCTGTGTAGTGTTATATTTTAAGTGATTTCATTTGCTTTTTCTGCTCTCTTCTTATTCATTTTGTTTTGTGCTGGACCAGCCTAGTTTTTCAAGTGCTGGTTATCAAGTTTAATCTGGGCACCTGTAGCACGTTGTACGTATCTATGATTTTATTTTATTTTGTGGAAGTGGAAAGTTTTTTGGAATGCACTTTAAGTAACAGGGTCTAAAAAAATGAACTGTTGTGAAGTCTTTCAAAACTAAATGATTGAAGCCCAACTATAGCCAAATCTTCTGTTTTTCTTTTGCTTTGGATAGTGTGAGGGGGTGTTGGAACCTCTGTCAGGTTGTAATGCTGTCTGTGACTCCACTGGGGATATTTCTCCTCACTTATTTATGTGATATCAAGGTCAGAACACAAGAAAAAGAAATAGACTCCTCAGAAGTTCTAACATTTCCCAGCTCTGCTGGAAAAAGCAGCTCTGGCTCTCCAGCTGTGCTTTAACTACTAATCCCAACATGCCATATGGCACATGTAGTTCCACAGCAGCAGGAGTGCCTCCCACCCCTGTTCTAACCCTTTTCCACACTGTTCAAAAGAAAACAAAATGTGGATGGAGTTGAATTATTTTCAAATTTTCTTTGCAGACGTTCTGGATTACCACGGTGGATTCTGGCTGCCTGCTTGTTCCTGTCTATTATGGTGATGCTCTGGCTCAGCTGTGCTAGTTTGGTGACTGCACCTGATCAGCATGTTAAGGCACAGGTATTTTACTCCATTCTCCTATGTTAAGTAATCCATTCCAAATTGTACCACTCGATGCGATTTCCATTCACCCACTGGCCACCGGTGCCATGTACAATATGAGGTCCATCTCTTCTCTGCAATCAGAAACGTCCAGGCAGCTGGGAACCATGCAGTGGTTTCAATAATGTTCATTGAAATTGTAGGGATAAAGCATGGTGGTGTGCAGCCTTGACGTTTGTTTGCTCCTGTTTTATTTAGATATGGGCATGCTGACAACTAATTCTTGGGCGCATTTCTTTTTTGGGCATTCAGTTTTATAGCTGCTTATCTTTTATTTCAGAAATTTGTTTTTTGCAACAATAAATTCTGTTACTGGAAACCTGTCATTAGAGAGACATGAATCTGAAAATGCTAATTACTTGGCTGTCATGCTGACCCTTTGGTATCAGTACTTTGAGCCTCTGACCTGGAACACCTCTGTATATAAGGACTTATGCTGTCCAATTTTCCTGATATTTAAACTTGTTCAAGGACAGTGAATAAGTGAGTATTGAAGCTAGTGGGTCAGCTTAACAGCAGCAACAGCACCTCCTATACTTTTCTCATGACAGATTTCCTTTAACAATTAATGTATGGTCAAAAAAAATTTATTCAGCAAAAGGGTTATCCAAAAAGGATTCACTTGCCATCCGTGTCCCTTTGGGGAACGTCACTCCTAGTTTGCTCGGGCGAGAGGAAGCCTTCCGTTAGGGACACTTTTCCGCAAAAGAATATAAGAAGGGAATTGCATCTGCATAAGCGGGGAGTTCTTCCCACTTTGTAGATATTTCTTGTTGCTTTCTGTTGTGGCTCCAGAACAGTAAATGAGGGGAAACATCCTAAAGGTACAGACAATGCAAAAAATAGACAGGGGTTTTCAGCATTTTGCCTTGATCTGCAAATAAAAAAAAAAATACACGTAGACATAAGAATTCTTGTTTAGTTAAATAGCTGGGCCTTACCACAGAAATACAAAACACAGTTTTCTCAAGAATATGAAAAGTACATCAACATGCTTCATACAGTGTTTTGGTCTGCCAGCACACTCTTCTAGCACTCTCCTAGGAGACTATACTGTATTGTAGTAATTATAACTATACCTGTTAATAACAAACAAGCCTAACAGTTATTGATACATCCATTGCCCTATACTGTTTTAATACATCCATTAATATTTTTTACAAAGAAAAATAAAGATGTAGATGGAATTAACATTTAAATTTGATGACGAGTAATACAGGCTTCAAAGAGTTGGAAAATGATAGTTTTGATTTATTTTATATTTAACTGTCAGGGCCAAGCCACACCATCAAGAGTGCGTTCGGCCTCTGGCAAGCACTGGAATGCAACACGGCCGGCTCACTTTGTTTTGGGGCGGGAGGGGGATTGGCGGTGCATTGAACTCAATGGCACCACAGCCACACCCCGACCAACTGTTAGCTTTTTATGGTAAGTGTTAGGAGCATGGCAAATGCTCCCATCCCTGTCGCAACCACTCATTTCCATCTGGTTGTTGCCTCTTGTAATTTCACCTACCACAGTCCAGTCAGCTGCAGGCTGATCAGACTAATCACCCTGGCTACACGCCCCTTACAGTCTGGGCTAGTTGTGCTCTATTTAAGCATCACAAGCCCAGAGCTCTGGGCTGGTGATAGTTCCAGCCTTGTCTTGTCTTTGCTCTGTCTACACAAGCCTGTATCCTTATACAGTAACCAAGTCCTGCCTTTATCTTGTATCCTAGTCTTGGCTTGGTTCTTTAATCCTATACCTTTCTTGTATTAATTTCTGTCTTGTATTTGTTTCCTGTTCCTGTGCCACGCGTTCGGGTGCCTTTGATCGCACGGCGGTGGGGTGCGACTGCGGTGCCATTGAGTTCAATGCACCGCCACGCTCCCTCCCACTCCAAAACAAAGTGAGCCGGCCGTGTTGCGTTCCAGTGTGTTCCAGAGGCCAAACGCACTGGAAGAGGCTCTTGATGGTGTGATAAGGCCCTTAAAGAGCAAGTGGGCTCAAAATAAACAATGTACAGTACTGGTCAGTGCCAAGACAAGATCATATAGCATCTAAGGTGAAGATAACAAATTCCCCCCCCCCTCAAGCTAAGGCTTATAGGGGTGGTGGGAGTGCCACATGGCAAATATGTCTGCAGTTTATAAAATAATGCCTGCATATACAGTGTCCAAGCTTGTGCAAAAATTACAGCCGCTGTCCAATGACCCTAGGTTTACAACGTTTGGTCTTTTGAAAAAGACAAGCTCTAAAAAAAAACAAAATTAATAAACAAAAAAAGCTACAAACAAATAGTTTAAAAAATCAGCACAAATATCTACAAGAATTTTTTTAATGAAAAATACGTTGTGACCCACTCTCCAGGCCCTCCTCACACCATATGGGTTTTAGATCATCCAGATTGCTCCTTCTATGACTTGATCGTTCCACCCATGAAGTACATGGCTCTGCCTTTTTGGCACTATAGCTACACAATAAAAAATATAAACACATACAGTTATTTAATGTTATAAATCTTGTATAAACTTTTCATGTATCAAACAAAATAGAAAGCTGTGTCAGTGTTTCATTCTAGGAAAAAGATTAACATGTTATTTGTGCTTCTTAACAGCCATTAAGCATAAATGGTGACAAAGAATACCTGGAAGACATGGAAAAGCCAGAACCTTTCCCTCTGCCGCCTGTTGTTGCAGTTACTATCTGCCCAACTGAAGAGAGTGAGGAGGCTGGGCCACTGCCAGTAAAAGTAGACCTTGGCAAAACTATCATCTAAAATTTTCATTTCTAAACCTTTACTGCTCATTTCTAAACCTTTACTACATTGCATTATAGTCTCCTGCAGAAATAAAGGGGATAATTGTCTTGTTATACTGGTTTTATGAACAGTGCTCTTTTTGCTTCCTTTCTTTGCAAAGCATCTGGAATGGTTTGCTCATCAAATTGGTCAGAGCCTGGCAGTGCATACTGTGCAGAGCCAAATATTCCTTGTCAATTTCTGTAACAAAATATTCCAGAGGTTTTCATGGATGCAATTTTCCCATAGTACATTGAAAATTTCCAGTTTGTATCTTGTACTGATGTATGACAAGATCGGGTTATTGTACAGTGCTATAAAATGTATGTGCTTTATATATAAAATGATAATATAATATTGTAACATTATTAAAGTAATGAACATTTAAGATGTCCGTTACAGCTATGGCTCAGATGCATTCACTCACACTATGTGTCATAATTTGCAAAGACCATAGTCTTCTCTTCACTGGTTTTGCATCCTTCTGTGTACAAGAAGACTCTGGTGAAAAATATAAATGGGTGAATCTTCTATATCAGTATAGAAACTATTATTGTAAAATGAAGACTTTTTATGGAAAATTCAGTGCAGCTCTCACAAAAGAATACTGTATATGTGGGCCCTTGGGATTTGTGGAGATATTATACAGTATATATGACAGGCTGTATGTGTTTTATTATGTGAATGGTCTATTAAACTGTATTTCAAGATGTGATGTACCCAACCCTTTTTTTTTATTTGGTGACTTCAGCCAATACTTTGGGATTCTAAGTGTTCATTTAGTCTTTGCATTTGTATGTACTTTTTTCTTTTCAGATAACAGAAAGGATTGTTAATATTGGCTCCCTAATTACATTTACTGGGTTACCCTTGTGGAGCTTTTTACATTGTAACAAATGGTCAAGTTTGTGTAAGATTTACAGATTTCTCTGTCTTTTCTTTCAGCAATTAAAGTTGCCTGCTGTGAATATTACGTTCCCATATGTCTTTCTTATAGACAGGGGTACTTCTGTATAGCATACTATTTAATTATTGCTACAAGTACAAGAAAATGTGTTAGGATGAGTTAGAAAATGAACTTCAGTTTTTTGCTAGCCTTTAGAAATGCTCACATATTTTTTTCCCTTACCCCATGTCCATCAGGACAAGGCTTTGAGGCTGCCTTTTTCTTGTTCTGCTCTTATGACTAATGAGTAACCCTTCCCCTATTTCTTTTTTACTTTCTTATTATAATGAACTATGGAAGGCTTAAAATATGCTTATTATTTTTACAGAACACATTTTTGTTTTGTTCTGCTGAAGGTTTGACATGTTAAAATAACTACGTTCTCATGCTGAGTACTTTTTTATTTTTGTGAAAAATCCATATTTAAATTCTTTATTTGGGGTAAGCACAGAAATCCATAACAGAATTAACAATAACATAGGACGCCAGATGTTGCTGGCCACATGGTAGTATATAGAACACTTAAAAGGTGTTTTACAAATAGAAGATAGTAACAGACGGTACAATCATGAATAAAAATACGAGCCAATGCGTCTGTTCAGCGTTCCAAGTCAAGAAGAAGTATGTCTCTGGTCCACCTTAGAGTAGGGGGGGGAGAGATTAACAGGGATAGAGAATAAAAATGGGAGGGGGAGCAGTGCAAGGTGTGTGAAAGGGTCAGGGAAGGGGGGAGGAATAGGGAAGGGGAAGATAAGGGGGAGAAAAGAATAGAATAGAATATGTCAGCGGGGAGATAGAACAAATCGTCACAGTATACAATAGGCCAGATAGTGCAAGAGTCACAGAGAAGCAGGTAGCTCTCCCCAAGGGGGAGATCAGCCCACCATCCGCCTCTCTGCAAAAAATCCATATATATGTTTTAAAATACCGTATTTTTCGCTCCATAAGACGCACTTTTTTTCCCCCAAAAGGAGGGGGGAAATGTGCCTGCGTCTTATGGAGCGAATACCTATCGCCCGACACCCGGGACATGCAGTTTCGGGCGCCGGGCGAGTAGTTTCTTTTTGTACATTCAGCCCAGCTCCTGACAAGCAGAGCTGAATGTGCAGTGGGAGCCGCTGTTCGTTTAATACAAGCGATCTAAGTAGATCCCTTGTATTAAATCGAGCGGCGGCGGCATCGGCGATAGTGTCCGCCCCCCGCCGAGGTTTTATGGGTCCCCCGTTCCTCTGCAGGACTGTGACCCGTCACGATCCCCCATAGGAGCTCACCATAGAGCCCATTGAGCAGACGAAGAACGACGTTCTTCGTCTGCTCTGTGTGATTACTGAGACAGCGCCACCTGTCTCAGCAGTCACTAACTGCAGCTTCTGTGACAGAATTTCTGTCATAGAATTTCTGTCACAGAAGCCATGCGTCCTATCGTCCGGAGCGTCTTATAGACCGCAAAATACGGTAATATTTTATAATCACCATTGCTCTGTCGGCTGCTGTATGTGTGCCTTCTAACCAATTGCTTTCAGAAAAACACTACAGAACTTACCTAGATGCTTTCTAGGAAGGGAGGGTCATATTTATTTGGCAAAAAGCTTTGGTATTATTTAAGTGACTGTAATATAAATGCTAAAAAGTGCAAATGATAGTGGTTATTTTGCACTAAGTTTTTACAGAAAGTTTAATTTGCATTACATTTAACCTTTGCATTTGGACTATATTACATGCAAAAGGTATACACTGAATTACATATACTGTATGCTACTGATTACATATATATGAATGAGTATCTGTATAACTACACAGTAGAATTTCATTTAATATTCACCTCTGATATCTTTATGCAGGTTTGGTTACTGTTATTACAAAGTGGATAACTGGTAGGTGGGCAAAAAATTACAATTATTTAACCATTGTACTCAGTACTGTTTTCTGTTTCCTTTTAAAAAAAAAAAATCTAAGAGGAGGGCAAATAGTTCTAAATATTTACAGTGCTATTCACATAAGGGTGAATAATTTGGAGAAGGCAGGAGAAGTGAACAATCTAGGCCAAATTAGCTGAACTGGAAAGTTAGCTGAATTGGAGACTTTTTTCCAAATCAGCTATTTTGGCCTAAATTGTTCACTTCTCCTGCCTTCTCCAAACTCTTCACCCTTTTGTGAATTACCCTGTTAATCTTGTTGCTGTTTTTTATTTATTTATTTTTTTAAGGCTATCAACATCATTGCCAAATATCCATTGCAGATATCCTAGCTGTTATGGTTACATATGTACTCTTGAATATTTGCCAGTAAAAAAACAGAATTTGATTAATATCATTATAGTGGCCTCAGCTGAACATTTTGGAAATTTGGACAAGATTTCTCAAATGCTGGAAAGTTACTATTTGAGACTAGGGAGGGTTGTAAAATGTATATATATCGTGTAGAGCAGATTTGTGTTAGGGAGCAGGCAAAGCATAGGTGAACTATAGGTAATTAATACATTAATTAATTAACGTAAATCTACACAAAGTTCAATCTTATTTTAAGGGTTCCTCTAAGAAATATAAAGAGAACTACTGTTTAATGCTGTAAAATTACAACATTTCTCCAAGCTCCAGTCTGCCTCATATATTCTCTGTGTGTAATACTGACCACTTTGGAAGCTCAGAAATGCTCATCGCCAGCTTGTTCACTGCTGGTGAATCTTCACAAGCAAGTCTCCAAAATGTAGCATCACTTGCTTCTACTGATCTATGTATGGTTATCTTAAGAAAGAACCTAAAGTCTATCAGGCAGTATGCTAAATTATGGTTTATATATAAGATATTACCTGTTTCTGTATATGCTTTATAAGAATGGGATTTACAATGGATTTTTCTGGATATTTATTTAAAACATCAGGAACACCTTCTTGCAATGAGAGAGAGAGAAAGAGCAGCTCTAAAACTTCCAAGGTAATCCATTAAACAATCTGCCACTCCTCGTTTCTACTAACAAACATGTAGAGCAGTATACTCCCAATTTGCACTAACAAACATGTCTAACAGTGTAAATAAATGCTGAGGGTATAGTGTTTGCTATTCATTGTGTATTTGACCAAATGGCCTATTCTTCTGTTTGCCTACATATATACTGTAGGCAGGAATGGGAATATATGCATATCTCTTTTTGAAAGTCAAAATGCATAGTTTATGTTGATATGTAAGAATGCCTTTAGAAACTATAAGGAATCCCTGTCTTTTTGTATTTTTTGTTGCTGTCACATGGCAGTGAAGGGTGTTTGCTGTGTGATAACTGCATGGAGAATCACATATGTTATATCAGTATGGTTACTACTATACAATACTTGGTCAAAATTAAGGCCAGTTCACACCTATGCGCCACGTTAATCGCAAAGTGTACATATATATATATATATATACACACACACGTTTTTTTTTAATTTTCACACTACCCCTCTCTCCTGGCAGTACCCTGTTGGCATTTATATATGACTAGAAATACTAACGGGTCTATTTTTAAATGTTTTAACACAGGAATTTGGATTCAAAAGTTGTGTAATCGTATGTGAAAACCCTTTAACTAAACAGACCCTTTGATCATTGTGCAGTGATCATTTTAATAATGCATACAGTAAATCTTGACACATATTTAAAGAGGATCTAAGGGCATCTCTTGGGTGTATGCTCCATAGTTTCTTTTGTAACTCTTGCTGATTATGACAGTAGTAATTAATGCATAAATGATGTCACTCTGTGGTAGAAACATTATGCATACACTGTAGAACTGCTTAATAAGGATATATTTACTTTCTTGCAAAATAAATAGATATTTTTTGTGCTGTTTACTGCAAGAAGCTTGTTTAATATTTAGGCCAAAGCATTAGAGAGCCATAATCTTGTATAATCTCAGATAACATGTTAATAATGCATTGCTGTTTTTTATGTGACTACATCATTGAACTATTGTCAACAAAAAAATAAACGTTTATAAACGATGTCAGTGTTTACTTTATACATTAAAAGAACATTAATACTACACAGTTCTTATTTATTAATAATACATTTTTTGTACCTCATATTTAATCCTGTTTTTACTGAAAACAATGATACAGGGGGGAATTGATCAAAACTGGAGCAGACAGAAATCTGGAGCATTTGCCCATTGCAACCAATCAGCTTCTCTCTTTAGTTTGCTCGGGTAAGATTTGAAAATGAAAGAGAGAAGCTCAGAGCCATGCACAGCTGCTCCAAATTCTGTTCGCTTGATTAATTCCCCTAACAGCATTTTACCTTGACCTTTCTTTTACTCATTAACTGCCAAGGACATATTCAGTATGTCATGGTCCATTTGCAAGCTATCCGGTGATTTACGGAATACAGTATGGCAAACAAAAGGTTACAATAAGCATTATATCTTTTTAGACCCCTGCCTCTATAAAGTGGACCTTTCACCACCAGTGTATAGTGTCACATGAGGATATTATCATCCCTAAATAAAATAAGTTTAAAAAAACAACGAATTT